CTCAAATTAAACTTAATGAACAATTGATTCGTGCTTTAGCGCGTATAATCGAGTTAAGATGCACGGGACAAGTTTGGAGAGCAGGAAAGAAACGTAGGAATTGCTCCAGGCGGAGCCGAGAGCAACTTCAGCTTCTAGCATGCTCTCCAAACTTCCCAAATACATCATAACCCAATGATGAACGCTAAAACATGAATTAATTGTTTTATAACATCATTGCCAGTGGAAATGCCGAACGCGCATCATTGGGATTACGAAGCACGCTAAGGTACACTGAATGTAACATTAGCTTTGGTTGCTATGGATGGTTATTACAGTACTAAATATGCCAAGGAGACGTTTTAGTGGTCTTTTACGCAGTAAAATCAGCTTTTATGAATAAATTGATAGGTTCTTTGACTCACTGTTAATATAACAAGTATCTTGCAGAGCTTGAGGGCCAAGCTCAGCGAAAATGTTCGACACTGACAAACTGATAATAAAGGCAAATCAGAAATTCGTCCAATTTTCTTGGCTGAACGAAAAAAAATTAACAAAACGGTATTATCTTCACGAGCGTCAAAGCAATTCATATCTGTATGTTACTCTGTTAGTTCTGGCAATTATAATATTCACGATGCTGATAATCCCAGTCTATTGTTATCGTTTCGTGATTGGTTAAGTGGACTTTTCGACTATTCATAATAATAATTACCTATCCTCTATCTCCTGTATCCATCCACCTCGTGGTAAAACGTGATCACACGCGGGTTTAATGTGGATGTCAAAAAATCGACATATTCAGACTGTTTGTTGAGTATTAGGGGGCAGTGAAGATCGATTCGATCCACGTTTCTATAAGGGACGTAGAATGTTAGGCATAAAAGGTTAGGATTTGAGCCAATAAATAGATCTTCAAGTGGACGAGTTGGGTTTGTGTGAGCCAAAGGTTAAAACAAGTCCGCAGCAGTTTGGTCCTCAGTCTCCATTATCAATCAAATTCATGAAGACAAGTATCCTGTCACGTTTGCTTGCAGGAAAACCCAAAGTATCAAATTGCAAACGTTTGTTACAAAAACAAAAATATCAGGTTACATTCGCTCGTTGGCACGTCCGTTTGTAGCACATAAGTAGAGATGCAAGCAAACCCGAGTCAGTGGAACTAAACCCAAGCAAACCAGGGTAGAACTAACCTCAAGCAAACATATGTTCTTCCTGACAGAAAACAATCTTCCCGACCTAGAAAAAACTCTACAGAAAAGCAGAATATTGGTGCATTTCTTCTCAAAACTTGCACTAATCGGCAAGGAACACAACACTTGAGTATATGTTTTCCTCTAGATTGAGTTTGTTTCTTTGTTGTTTTCAATTCCTAGAAGTGATGTTAAGTCTTCTCGCTGCACCCTGTAACACCATAATAGTGGCTTATGTGCTCTGCATGATTCGCTGGACAAACACGAAATGAGTCGACAAAGTGTCATAGTGAATCATAGTGTAAATGACAAAAAAGAACATGATTCTTGCGACGAATCAGCAATTGCCAGACTACGTGGCACTCAGTGTTTGCTAGTAAGATTCGTGTCAAAAGCACTGAATTTTATCATTTATTCTCCTCGGCGTTTTACTAAGATCATATCAGCAAGCTCATCGAATAAAGTTTTGATAATCAGTGTCCGTAGAAAGGTGTGGATTGAGCACGTCGCAACTTTGTCCATTCATTACCTGTAGGTCGTTAGAGTTTCGTGCTGTACAGACAGACGAATGAATGTTTACATTGTAAATTTAATATTAGTCATCAGGCATTCAAATAGCGCGGAACCAATTCTCCCATTAAGACCTACTTTTATTCTCATCTCTTGAAGTGTTCTTCCAAGGTAAAGGTTTCCCTCTCGTCACGGAATTCTTTCTAATTCCAGTCTTACAATGACGACGCGTTAATCTAATTAATGAATGACACGTGGGCGTCAAATTGCGATTGATCTTCATTCTGCGAACTTTCTTTGTCTACAAGAGATTATGATCTGTCTCTTGATGTCTACTGTAAGCGACGTATGCACCTCGACACACCAATAAACTTACAAATTTTCTTAAATTACCCGCAAACCCATTTCCGCGAGCTCTTCGCCAAAACATTACACAGTCTACCCATTCACTCTCTCACGGTCCTCTATAAGCACACTAGCTTTACAGGTGCTATCACTCCAGCGAGTATGGCTTAGCAGCTGTCTTGGTCTGAAATTAGTTCAGAGATTGATATTTCAAGTTATTTCTTGAAATAGTGTCTGAATTTGAGAACCGGGCTGCATTTCCTCCCTCCCAAAATGGAGCACCCCTGGCAGCTAAGGTCTTTTAACCTTTGACACCAAATGCCAAAGGTCTGTGCCATGAAATCTATAAAATATGAAACTACAAAATCCCACACAACGAGCAACCCAAAGGTTATTGACTTGCTATGCCAAGCGGCGGATAAGACGAGAACATAAGCTCATCTGCAAGCCAGACAAAGTACTGCTTCAGTTGACCACTCGGCAGTATTTAGCCGATTGTAAAATATCTTCTCAAACTCATTAATAATTCATCAAGTTCAAACAATGGAGATCATAACCGTGACGGTGTTTTGATATCTGATCTTAATTAGCATAGATTTTT